GACACACACACACACACACACAGACAGGGAGAGGGAGTGGTGGGACACACACACGGGGAGGGAGACAGACACACACACACAGACACACACATGTTTTTCAGACTGTGGGGGGACCCCACACTGACTTGGGAAGAACATGCAAACTCCACACAGCACCCTGGCCAAGGCTTGAACCCTGGTCTCTGAGGTGTGAGGCCAGAGTGCTACCACTGCACCACTGCACCACCAAGACACTCAGGCTTCCCTACTTTAGGCTTAAAAAATCCAGGTAGACATCATGCGATAAGAACTTTCATTGTTATTGCCTTTTGTCATAAAATTCAGTTTCACAACAGGTAGGCCAAGGCTGGCCTTGAACCCATGACCTTCTGGTCACAAGCACAGACACTTAGCCCACAAAGCCACACAAGCCAGTACAGACACTCAACAACTCGGTCTCCAACTTTAGCTGAAACGGCACCGGTGCATAACTAATGGTGAGGAAAGGACATCCAGGCTTATCTTTAAAAATAAAAAAAGGGTGGCTTGGTAGGGTAGTGGTTAGCAATGGTGCCTCACACTCCCAGGACTAGGGTTCAAGCCTGCCACCCCCCCCCATGCCAATTAGGAAAGGGCCTCAATCTTAATATTAAACAAGTGTGACAGCAGCATTATAATAATAATAACTTAACACACATCCCTTAACCCCATAATTTCCTCTAAACCAACAGGCAGGCCAAGGTTGGGCTTAAACCCATGACCTTCTGATGACAAGCACAGACACTTAGACCACTAAGCCACACAAACCAGTACAGACACTCAACAACTTGGTCTCCTACTTTAGCTGAAACGGCACTGTGCCACCCCACCTCTACTTCACTAAGACGAAATGCAAAGAAATTCAATGTTGCTAACCTGGCTCCTTTTGTCCCTTTGCTCCTGCCGTAGTCACTGCAGGAGGAGCCCACCTCAACCTGCTCCCAGCTCACGGAGCTCATGATGGCCTCCCGCACCAACCTGCTGAGCGCTCTGCCCCAGGACCTGCCCTCGGATGCACTGACCAGCAGAGGGAGCTTCCTCATCAACCTGGAGGGTAGGCAGTGCGTACATGGGAACTTCTGCATGGGATATGCAGCATGCATGGCTGTGTTGCTGCGTGGGAGCTGGGGTACATAGCGCATTCCCCACAATGGTTTGCTGTTTGACTCCTGGGAGGACACCTTAGGTAAAGCGAACCCATGAAGGTAGAAATGCTGTAAAAGCCATTGAGTGACAGCCCCCCTCCCCCACCTTCCAGGCGGAGGGATTCGCGAGGAGAGCGCCTACAGCGTGGCGGCGGTACCCTGCCCCCTCTCACGCTGCCCGCGCTGCCGCCGCTACACAGCCGAAGTACCGGAGTGCCTCTGTCCACGCTGCAAGTCTGTCCTGGGGGGTCCAAACTGAACCCCCACTCCACACCAAATCCCAACCAAGTCAGTAAGGAGCCCCCCAGCAGTGCGTCTGACACAGGCACTGCATAATCAGCCCTTTGCTGCCCGACCTGCCTAATGCAGCACTGCAAGTATGTGTGTGATTACAGTGGTCCTCACTTATCGCTGTCCTCAGGACAGGAAGTGATGTCGTGGTCAGGTGACAGTCTATACTAAGGCACTGCGCTTGGGACTGTCTGCTGTAGGGATTACAGGAGGGGACTGAGTTTTTTTCCATAACATTATTATATATAATATATATTGTTTGTTATTCTATGTTGCCATCGATTTACCTGCACTTACCCGTGAGAGAATCTGCACAAATTTTGGTTAATGGAAGCTGATTGGTGGCTTGTATGTTTCTCTTTCCACAAGTTCAATAAATTTTTGTCTCTGACTTAATGGGTGCAGAATGTGAGAGACATCCAACCAAATTGTGTTCCTAGTGAAACATGCCTGCCGTCACCACAAGGGGGCACCCTCATGCAATTTCTCAGAGAGATCAGACTTAGGTCTGTCCCCCACTGGGCTGCAGCTGGTAGGTAGTTAATCCCTAGTGCAGTGTGACGTACCCTAGTGAGATATCGCTACCCAAATGGTCATGCGCCCAGTAACCAGATCACACCAGCGATGTGGAGTTTAAAGCCTCTTTATTCTGTGGATGTAAGTGTTACATTCTGCCAGGCCTGGATCTACAGAACAGGAGGGCAGGGGCACAGCTAATACAGTACAGTACAGCATATAAATATTAGCAAAAAAATAAGAAATTTTACTATAATACAAGTATCTTTAGAAAGAGACAAGAGACAGAGGCCTCTGGCCCGATCGTACTGCCCCACTGGAACAACCAGCCATCAACCCTGTTTCCACCTTTGCAAAACAGCCTCCTCTCACGCCTCGGGACCCAGGGCGTCGACGGCTTCCAGCAGGTGCAGGGCCAGTGTGTACTGGGCGTGGTTCTCAGGCAGAATCTCAATGACCCGACTCACCATGCGGCTGGTGAGGGACAGGGACACGGAGGGACAGCTCAGCTCGCTGGGGTCCTAGAGAGGATGAGGAGGTTATTAACTCCCTGGGGTCGGCGGTCCCGCCGGCGGGATCTGACAGAAATTTCGCCAAACCGTTTAAATAACTCTGCGAGTTTTTGTCATGTACATATTTTAAAAAGACCCTCAGAAACCTTGGACGGTCTACTTTTCATATATATATATATATGAAAATATATATATATATATATGTAGAAACTAAATATATTTTTACAGCTTCGTGATACTAATAGAAAGAACAAGAGTGACTGACTTAAGCGTCTGTGTCTCGAAGCGGCTCTGATCGCCCACCCCCTTGCAAATCGCGCTATTCGCATGATAATAACATGATAATCTGACTGTTTGTGTTGGGTAAAGAAATATGTGAATACGCCCATTGTGACCAAAATAAAGAAGAGCACAAGTCTGGGTAGTGTTTACACTGATCGGCTACAATATAGCACACGGATACGTCTCTGCCGCTGAAGCTTTGCGCCACTGTTGCCACTTTCAGCAGTGAAGCTCATACCTGCGTTCATGGCTCAGTGTGTTCAGCCTGTGTGCCTGTAATCACACGATCGCCGGTTCAAACTCAGTCTATTTAGAACGTGAATAGCGATCTTCAGCTGAGAGCGGTCCTACACGCTCCCGATGCAAGTAAAACAAAGAAAGATGACACGGTTTGCTTTTTTGCCTATTTAACCTAATTTTAAAAACTTTAATACTTCCGACAATGGAAGTTTTGAAAAGAAGACCAATTACGGATTTAGTCAGTTTTTTTTCATGATTCCACATAATGATTTCAGCGAGATATAAACTGAAATACGAGAAAGATAAGCGGTCGACGGTGTTAATAATAATCACTGCATCATATTTATCGCTTTCTATATTTATATGGTCACAGTTTTTCATTTTTCATTCCATCTACCAATAAACTGTGAAAGGGATTTTATTGTTGCTACTTTTCTTGCGTTTCCAACTGCCTTTCCAAAGTGATGGGTGTGGGGTGCAGTGACATTCCAGACTGATGGGCCATTGACAGTATGCAAACTACTACAGGTGTGAGGACACCTATCTCATCAATATTCATTGAGAAGACCACTGACTTTGAGAAAAAGAGTGTCACTCCAAAGTTCTAACACTTTAGTAATCAAACCACATAAAATTTCAGAATGTCACTTTCACCTATGTGTAGCCAACCCCTGTGTCTAAGCTTCAGAGCTCAAAAGTCTTACCTAGAAATGTCTATAATGTGATTTTTTACAATTTATCAGCATGTCTGAAAAAAGGTTTTTGAAAAGCATATGTTTAACGTTGATTTTAACAAAAAATAGAATAATAACATTCTAAGTGGTCTCAGATTATTGGTGCTGAGTTTGTGCTGAATAAAAGCAAATGTAACACTTTGGGATGAATGTTTTTTAGATAGGTGAAATATTTTGAAATGTCAAGGCATGTCAGACTACCCCGAAAGTGGAAAAGAGGCCTCAGACCCCAGGGGCACGGTAGCAGACGTGCACCAGAGCGAGCTGCTCACCATGGCCTTCAGCCACGTGCACAGCGTGGGCGGCAGCCGGGCCAGCAGCTCCATACCGGGCCGCGTCTGTGTGTGCAGCAGCGAGTAGGAGAGCCGCTGGCCTGTCAGCACCAGCAGCTGCGAGCCCAGCACATCCTTGTCCTCCACTTCTAGCGCCACCTAGGGGGAGGGTTGTGTACTGCAGGTCAGATTCAAGCTTCCTGCCAGGCCGGGCGGGGCCAAATGTCTGCACGTGCTCCCGTGTCTGTACCTCCTCCGCGCGCAGGTCCAGGCCGTGGCTGTACAGCTGACACACCAGGTGCCTCCGCAGAACGTCGGGGTTCACCTGCAGCAAGGGGGCCAGGTCCAGGCACAGCGAGGCCCACGAGTTATCTGGGGGGCCCGGGCACAGCGGCGGCGGATCTGCCCCCTCCACCTGGGTCTTCACCCAGGCTGTCAGCACCTTCAGGAGGAACTGCGGGGCAGGGATGGGAGTGTGAGGGAGACAAGGCCGGGATGCAGATAATGGCGAAGTTCATAGGCAGTGCTGACTGAGAACCTACAAAAAGCTCAGGACTGACCTGCCCCACCAGAAGGGGGCACACTCACCTCTTGCCTTAGTGAGACGAAACTGGGGTCCATGTCCCCACTAGGCAGCAGCTGTATGGAGGTCAGGTCTCTGAAAAAGGCGGTCCTTCCCTGAGAAGGGAGGGGCCAGGTAACATAGGCAGGTCCAGAAGTTTCATTCACAATAAGCAGTGAAGAAATCTAACGCAGATGCTGCACCAAGAACTGGGGACTAACTGCAGCTTTGCCTTTTGGGCCGGCCTTTTCTATTGGCTGTGCAGCTATAATCTAACCTATCAGATCGATTGCCTCACCTTGCTGTCGAATAGGCTCAGCGGTTTGACGCGGATGCCGAATGCCATGGCAGCGTGCAGCAGTGAGGCCAGCAGGCAGTTGTGCTGGACCAGGGGGTAGTGCACAGACCTCTGCTCCAGCGCCAGCTCAGCAATAGAGGCCGGGCCCTCAGCCCCCATCCACACCTCCTCCACGCACAGCTCTGGGGGGGGCACCTCCTCTATGCCGGCATCTGCCTGTGGGAGACAGTTTAAGGGTGTAACAGTAAGGATACACGGTGTTTGAAGTACAGCCAGTGTTAACTGTTTATGGATTTCAGGGTGTGGAATACAGAATGCAGTGCTCCCCCTCACCACTGGGGGGCACAGTCTTTAGAGAGCACACCTACCTCTACCAGGGTCTGCAGCAGTTGAGTGCAAGAGCCTAGGAAAGATGTCATGGCACCGTCTCCCATCCCCACATCCTATACCGAGAGGAATGTGTGTTCAACGCAGGCACATAAACCTAAAAGCCTTAATGATAGGTGCATTACCCAGGGCAAGCTTCTGGTTGAGGTGGATAGTCAAGAATGTTTATGTTCAGGCATAGCCAATCGATCACCGAAACCCGGGAAGTAAGAACAAAGACTCACCCTGCGGCACAGCCTGTCCTTCGGGGCCTTTCCCACCTGTCAGGGGGAACAAGTCAGGGGTCAGGGAGTCCGCTGCTCATGACCACACCCACATAGAGATGACCACACCCACACACACATGGCCACACCCACAGAGATGACCATACACATGGCCACACCCCTCACCTTCTCCATGAGGAAGGCGGCGGCGGAGAAGCGGTTGACGATGAAGGTGTTCCACATCATGATGGAGATGCCTGGCAAAAGGACAGAGAGCGCACTGCTGCACCAGTGTGTAACCGCAGTTCATGACCCTTACCACATGGTGGCGTCATGCACTGGCTGGGGTACATGGCCAGGGGAGGAAATATGGACTCATTTAAGCCTGTCATTGAACTGAGGAGGCTGGGAGACGCACCCAGTTGGATGTGAGGGTTGGCGATCAACTTGAGGTGCTCGACAGCCCAGGAAAGGTACCGCCCCTCCTGCAGGGGGAGACAAACAAATTAACAGCATTTAGCATTGTTGCCTCACACCTCTAGGACCTGGGTTTGAATCTCTGCCAGGGTTTTTTTTTGTGTGTGTGTGTGTGCGCGCGCAAGTGAGAGGAAGAGTGAGACCGACCTCCGGATCCTTGTTCCACTGCACCACATACTCCCAGCAGCAGTGAGCAAACAGGATGTCGGGAGACAGGGAGACTGGGAATCGCTGGCACACAGGGACCAGCAGCTCTGAAATACACACACACACACACATCCATAACTGCGACACTGCGACATGATTAGCTCTAAAGCTCTGTACAGACGTCCTTAACAGTGAATTCCCTCCCGCTTACCGCCTGCCTTCTGGAAACTCGCACCCTCCGGATTCTTCTCGCCTTCAGAGGGGTTTTCTCGGGGTTCTGCTGCTCCCCTCGTCTCCAGGATACCCTTAAGCAGGGCCGGTTTCAGGTCCTGCCTGAACACCCACTTTGCCACGCTGTCAGCCACACCTCCTGTGCAGCAGAGGGCGCCAGATATAGCAATGCAACTTCACTTCCAGAGACTCCGTTAGCGAGGGGAAGCATTTGGTCAGGTTCCTGAATTTGGCTTCATTCTCTAAAGAGTAGCACCTCCCCACCTGTGCCACTCTCCAGAAGGGCCTTGACGGAGCAGCGCGCCAGGGCGCCCCCTGGTGTCCCCCGCGGGCCCGGCAGGCACAGCAGTGTGTGTAGAGCCAGTAGGTCCTCCAGTTGTCTCACACACACTGCCCACTGCTCCAGCTCGAGAGAGACAGCTTCCCAGTCCGACTGGAACTGGAAACGGAAAGACTGGGAAGTACGTCCTAGCTGAGAGCAGATCCGGCTAATGTCATGTATACCACTTCAAGTCTTGCGGTACCTTTTTCTCAGCCAGGCTGGTGATAGAGTTCTTGGCGGCTCGGTGGGAGACCAGGGCTACCAGTAGGGCGGCGCCAGCGCTCTCTGACTGGACACATGCAGTGCGGACCTGCTGCCACCAGGGTGACACACACTGCAGGTCCCACGAATCCTCCACGGCCCCTAGAGAAAGCGAGGGTACATCACCGTAGAGAGGGAGTGTGGCACGGGTCACTAGCGAGTGCCCACACATGCACACACACACACGACGATGACTCACCCGTCATGGCGCTCAGGGCTGCGATGAGGGAGTGCAGGTGCCAGACAGCTTGGGGGTTCTGCAGTACCTCCTTCTCTCGGTCGAGCCACACGTTCAGGAGCAGAGCCTGGGACAGTCAGAAGGGAAGTTGCCATGGTTACATCCCGACAGACGTGGCCCAAACAACGCTCAGTCACATGAAGAATCAGTGGAACAATCAGATGAATAACCTGTTGGTCTGGATTTTGCACCCACACCCTCCTCCCCAGTCCCAGTTTCCCCACCCAGCTCACCAGCAGGTCCTGGGGGCTGATTCCAGTATCTTGAAGCATGTCACAGACCTTCTGCGGTGGGCTCTGTCCACACAGGCAGCCCCAGAATAAGAAGCTCCCTGCAGGACAAACACAGTCACAGGGTCCAGCGAATCAGCAGGGAAGGCGGAGCTTAAAACAGCAGTACCAAAATGAACCCTGGAAGAGGACCTGCCCCCCCTCACCCTGAAGACTTCAAATCAACATCTGCATCAACACCTAGTAGTGCAGGGGCCTCCAACTCTTGTCCTGGAGAGCTACTGTCCAGTAGGTTTTCTGTCTTGGCTTCTGATGAGTGTCACCTGTTCCTGGTATTTACCTGAGAACATGTGTGGCTCATCAGAAGCCGGGTAGGATAGAAAACCTACTGGACGGTAGCTCTCCAGGACAAGAGTTGGAGACCCCTGCAGTAGTGGAACAACTGTACACTGGGCCCTGGGACAAAAATGAACCCCCCCCACTTCCAAATTCACACCTGCCTATGCTAGTTGCAGCAGTCGCAGATGGATTTTTAAGTAATGTAAGTAGTCTCCAAATATCCCATCATGCACTGCAATAGTCAGCAAATTCCATAACCATGCTTTCTCTAAATACATGGCTCGACCACAGACTTTGACTACAAAATGTTACAAAATATTACATTTCAAATTTGTTTTAAATATTGTACCAAATATTTTTTGGTTATGACTCCCACCATAATGAGACTGTACACATAAAAATGACAGCCACATCACATAATAGTGTTCTGGTATACTATGGCTTGGTATACATCAGTTTGATCTTGTAGATAAACATGGTGTGGCAGTCCTTTTTGTGGTTTAAAACCAGCCCTAAAATCACAAATGTTTCGCAGGCATGTGAGGTTTAGGCAGAGGGGGGAGCTCGACATCGCTGGTGGGACCGGGCCCTGGGGCAGCTGCCCTTAATGCCCCGCCCACCAGTCACCCATGTCGACACCCCTTTATGTGAGTACTGCCTATGGGCCAGCTGCCTTTCAAGCGGCTCTGCCATCTAAACATCACACCCCAGCATTTATTTTTGGTCATGTCTGTTCTGGTAAATCCAGCAAGTGATACAGGAACAGAGAAATAATACGCAACCGTCCTACCCAGCTGTGTCCAGTCGGTGTTCTGGCCCCGGACGACTCGCAGGGATCCACCCTCAGCCTCCAGCTGGGACAGGAAGCTCTGCACGGGAAACTGACCCTCGGGGTCCTGGGCGAAGGACACGGAGGGGCGGGACAGCAGCTCTGTGTACCGCTGCAGGACCGGCCCAACGCGGGCGAGGTCGTCGTCTATTCCGCTGCAGGCCGTCTGCTAGGTGGAGGGAATTCAGGTCAAGGTGGTGACGGGAATGGGGGGACAGGCATGTGATTCTTACGTTGAAAAGGGGCCAGGGACCCACATCCAGAGGACGGGGGGGGGGCATCACGACGTTTGGACGTCAGTACCTGGGTGAGAGTCGGGTCAGTATCCTGGCCCCTGGGGGGCGGCTTAGCAGAATGGAGGGCCATGATGTCAGTGTACATCTGCAGCAGCCGCAGCTGGGAGGAGCAGAGCTGCAGGAGGATCTCATCCACAGCCTCAGGGTCTGTGCAGACGCAGACGCAGACGCACACACACACACACACACACATGCAAAGACCTCCATGTAAACACACCACTGCCTCTGGGCCTGTGAGACTGACACCAACGCACACAAGTCCCTCCCCTTGACATTGAAAGTACTACCTTGCTTCTTTAAGCTGTCCAATAAGGCGCGAGTTATGTTGATCAGGCATGAGACTGGAGCTTTCTTATTGGACAGCAAGGATTCTAGTGCCTGTCCAATCAATGAAACAAGAGTGTGAAAACCTCATTTTCATGTGATATGACTCTGAAAGCCACAAAATCCTGGCATGCAACACCAGTCTACAAAGAGATGTGCCACATGGCCTGTTTCACCTTCCCACAGGGCAACTCCCCCCCCACCCCCGTGCGTGTGGATCCGGAAAGAACACTGGCTTACGTATATTTGACAAGCAAAGCTATACTAAAATATTAATAGCATGTAGCATGTCCTGCTTTTAAAGCGCAGAGGAGTCTGACAGCCTGTTTACCTCAAGCACACACTAAACCCAGGTAAAGGAACCTGCTCCCTAACTGGGCCCCGCCCCCGTGCCCCCACCTGTTTCTTAATGGCGGGGTGCTTGATCTCCAACAGGACACTCTGGGCTTCGCTCTCCAGGATGTCTGCGAGATGGGGACAAAGGCAGGACGGTGATGATGTCATTTTATTTTCCGTCATTTCCCTCATGTGTCTCATTCCCTGTGATGTGCTTTCCCCACCCCCACATGGAAACATGCCATGTGACCCCACCCCCTC